AAAAAAAAAAAAAAAAAAAAAAAAAAAAAAAAAAAAAAAAAAAAGACAATTAATTCCCAATCCCAATCCCAATCCCGAAGAGAATCAGAAACTCTAAAACAATGTCCCATCGCCCTCTTTCTTTTTTCTTTTTTTTTTCTTTTTTTTTTTAATCCTTTTTTCATTAGGATTTTCAAAATTCCAATTCCCAACTCTGCTCTTCCTTCTGCCCCTTCTGCCTCCTCCCTTTTTGTTCTCTTTCCTCTTCCCAATTTTTAAATGTCTTTTCATTCGATTTTAATTTAATAAATTCTTCCAATAAATAAATAAATATATATAATCATAGTCGGATAACCAACAGAGAGCGTTAATCCCTCAAGAGAGGTGTATTGTGAGATCCCACATCGGTTCGAGAGAAGAACAAGCTATTCTAAAAACTTGTTCTCCTGTAAACACATTTTAAAATTTTAAGGAAAAGCCCATAAGATAAAATTAGAGGACAGCGTCAGCTAGAAGTAAGTTTGAATTGTTTTATATGAATATATATATATAATATATATTGGTAACACTTTTTATTTATGATTTTTAACATATTCATATAATATTTTGTTTTGTATGAGAATTAGAATTATTATTTAATCAATTTTAATAAAATTTATATGAATTTAAGATTTATTTAAATTATGAAAACTAAAAAAAAATATACAATTATATTTTATATTTTGAGACTTATTCTCTCTTGGTTTAGAGATAAATAGTTTTAATTGAAAAAAAGGATAAATATAAATAAAATTTAAATAGCCTTATCCGAATTCCACGTGGAAATATCCCAAGTGGACGTAGTTTAGATGGGTACAGAGAGTTCCACCCTCGTTGGCATTATTATATAGATATATTAATTAGAAGAATTCCCAATTTTCTCAAGGAAAGGACATTAGAAAAAGTGCTATATTCCCCACAACCCCGAAGACTTTGAAAATTATATTACATTAAAAATATATATATATATATATATATATATAATAACAATAATAATATAAAAAACTTGCCGGCAAGACTCTTCCAAACCTTGCGGGAAATTCAACGCCAATGCTATTAATTAATCCGCGAGGTTAAAAAGTAAAAAAAATAAAAAAAAGTAAAGAAAATAACCGCACATTTAATTCAACTAATGGTGTGGACCACTTTCTTATCTCTCTCTTTCTCTCTCTAGGCTGCCCTGAGTTTGGCCCGACTCTACTGCCCGAATACTGTAATAAAGAAAAAAAATAACATAAATATTAAAATATATATTTAAATTAGTAAATATAATTTTAAATATATATATATATATATATAAATAATTGGATGGAGACGATCTTTTAAGTGTGGGTAAACGGAGTTGTGGGGGACCATGGTTTTGTCACGTAGACCGTCATTAAAACCGAACGGTATCGCTTTAAAAAAACAATTATTTAGGAGTTGGGGGGGGGCCTAGTTAGTGGGGCCCCACCTATTGTTTGTGCCTCCAATCTTCACGCATGGGCCCCGTCTAGGCAGAGCGTCCCGAAGTGGGGACCACCTCACGGTTCGCATTCATTTAAGCCGGCGGCTGTCAGATTGATCAAGGAATTCCCTCTTTCGTGGTCCCCAGTTCTCCTTCCTCCACGTGTCTTCTTCTTATTCGTTTTTCTCAAGCGTGCTTGCTTGGCGGTCCCCACAAGTGGTCCAAACCAGCACAGCGCGACTCGTGTCAACCGGTCGTTGTCTTGCGAATGGCGGAGAGAGAACCGACGTAATCAATGGTCCCCTACACCTTTTTTTTTTTTCCTCTCTCTCCTTTGTCACCGGTTCTGCCGGTCACTTTATCTAACGTGAAAACATGCCACTGTCCACCGCCCCCAACCGGTAGCAGGTGGAACGGGTAGGGTAAAATTAGGTCAAGTGACAATAGTTTTTGCTTACATGGGTCGTTAAATTTATTTTATTTATGGGTTTGTTCGGTCACTCACGCCAGAGTAGATGACGTGGAGACCACGCTCCAAGACATGGGGGCTGACATTAACGAACTTCCACTGCCTCCTTCTAGTACACACTGTCCACTTTTATTATGGAATGGGAACTACTTTTACTAAACCCTTTTTTTTTTCTTATCATTATTATTAACTTAATTTAATCTTAAATAATTATGTTTAATCCATGATTTTCCCATAATAATTGCTTTTAACCTCCCCCACGTGTCGCTTTTCATTTCCTTCACTTTACAATCAACTTCTAATTAGAGCTCCCTTAAGGGTAAAATAAAGCGACAACAAGATCTCATATCGGTTAGAGAGGGGAACGAAACATTCCTTATAAGGGTATACAAACATTTTCCTAATAGACATGTTTCAAAACTATACGGTTGACAGCAATACGTAACAGGCAAAATTGAACAATATTTGCTAGCGGTAGATTTGGACTGTAACAAATGGTATCAAAGTTAGAATGTTGGACTTCCAAGGTAGTGGATTGTGAGATTCCACATCGGTTAAAGAGAAAAAACCAAACATAGTGTGGAAATCTCTCCTTAGTAGACGCGTTTTACAAACGCGAGGTCGACAAGGATACGTAACGAGCAAAAACAGTGGGTTTGAACTATTACAGTCAGCTTCTAGTATTATAGATTAATAACTACAATTTAAAGCCAATTTGACCATAGCTCGATCAACAATATATATTTATTACCATTCCAAAGTCCAATAATTCGATCTCACATTTTATAGACAGCAATTATTGATTTTTTAAAAAAAACACACCAAAATTATATGACATTTTTACCCACGAATGCGTCTTCCATGTAGACAACCTAATACATATTTGTACAACACAATTAAATAACTACCAATATGAATTAAAAACTAAAGTTAACCTATAAACATCGCTTTCATGAAACACATTTATTTTATTATAATCATACAACTTTATGTTAAATAAAGAATAACTATATGGTTTGATGGGTGTGACAAATTAAAGGGAGATTAATAGCTTATAATAAAAATTAAATAAATTTAGGACTAAGCTTGACAAAGTTGGAATAAAAAGTAATGCACCCATTTGGAAAAAAAAGCAAACCAATATTCCAATTTTTTAAAAATAAATAAATAAATAATTAATCCGTAGGTGGCTGTTGGGTATCTTCAAAACACGTAGCGCACACGATTATTTTACAACTAATAAATCCAACCCAAAAATCTTCCCTTTTTTTCAACCACTTTATTTATTTATTTATTTATTTTTATTTTTAGTATAATTAAAATAATAATATAAAAAATATTATTTTAATCAACGACCAGATGTTGCAGTGAGAAGCCGGGGAGGGTATTGTTTTATTTATTTATTTATTGTATTTTTAAAAAAGGTGACCGAAAGGAACAGTATGTCACGCGCTTTTCTCCGTGGCCGTTCGGTTTTCTTCTCCTGTCTGAGCTAACATAACGATTTGTACCGCGGAACTGCGACATGTACCACGCGCGAGTGTCCGTCTGCTACGCGCGATAAATTCTCGATCCTCTCCGTTGAATTCAAGCGTTTTGTGCAACGTTGACGATTTTCCACCGTTGGATTCCCTTCCATTACACGTGATTCCTATTGGTCCACGTCAACAGTTTTGTTTAAATTAATGTCTTTTTTTTATTGATTTAATATTTTCAAGTCAATGGCCGTGAATTGCGATAATCCCGAAGAATAATGGCTCGGATTCAGTTATTTCTCGGTTAATATTTTTCGTCTCACAATTAAAAAAAAAAAAATAATAACTAATTATTTATTTATAGATATAAAAATAATTGCATATTTGATTAAAAAAAAAAACAAATTTTAATCCCATCATCAAATAATATCTTTTAATTTTATAAATTAATATTAGCAATAGAATTTAATCTTAAATTTTTAGACGGAAAGTAGGACATAAAATAGTGTGATCGTGACGTAGAACAAAATTTTGAATCCATGCACCGATCTGTCTATGTGAGACTGTCCCTCGACCCGTAAGTCCTGACTCAAGGTTAGTATTCTAGGTCTTCCAGAGTGGTATCTCGCTAATGGCTCGAGCACCCTAAAAAGGGCATAGTGTGATTGCGACGTAGAACAAATTTTTAAATCCCTGCACCGATCTGTCTATGTGAGACTGTCCCTCGACCCATAGGTCCTGACTCAAGATTAGCATTCTAGCTTTTTCAGAGTGGTATCTCGCTAATGGCTCGTGCACCTTAGAAAGGGCCTAGTGTGATCGTAACGTAGAACAAAATTTTGAATCCCTGCACCGAGCTGTCTATGTGAGACTGTCCCTCGACCCATAAGTCCGGACTCAAAGTTAGCATTCTATCTCTTCCAGAGTGATGTTTTTTATCTAAAATTCTTAAAAAAAAAAAAAAAAAATTATATTTATGATTAGTTTTGAAATATTTATAAAAGGGAAAATTAATTTTAAAAAATATATATGGGGAAGTAATTATAATATTATAAGATAGGGTGTGATTTTGGCTAATAATTTTGTGAACAAGAAATTGTAGCTTCTCTCTCTTAAAGAACTCCGTCGGAATTTTTTGTTGGTCTAAAAATTGAGTCCTATAATGGTTATAGTAGAAGACTAGAAGTAGAACCTCATAATCATATCATCTTCTTTCTCTCTCTATCTTCCTTTCTCTCTCTTCTGTCCATCTCTGTGGGCTTCCATGGCGTATCACAATCACCTCTCACAGGACCTTCCCCTCCACTTTTCTGACCACCAACAACACCACCAAAATCAGCCTCTCTCTGATACCTCTCTGCGTACCATTCTGCCGGACCAGCTTGCCGGCGGTCACTCCTCGCCGGACCCCAAGTCCCACCATCATCATCACCATCATCCGCTGCAGACAGCGCCGAATTGGCTCAACAACGCACTGCTTCGCAACCAAAACCCCCATTCTCACTACTCTACCGACACCGTCACCACAGCCGCCGCCGCCGCAGCCGCCAATACCAATTTCCTCAACCTTCACACCACTGCATCGGATTCCACCGTCTCTCACTCCTCAAACCAATGGCTCTCCCGTCCGATCCTCCACCGCAACCATAGCGATGTCATCGACGATGTCACCGCCTCCGCCGGTGATGCTATGATCGGTGCCGCTACCGCCGCGCTCTCTCACGATTCCGGTGAGATGAAGAACGACGCTAATAGCGGCGATGGAATGAACAAGAGCGAGGGTATGGTGATGGAACCTAGCGCCGGTGGAGAGGGGGTTTTGAATTGGCATAATGCTCGTTATAAAGCCGAGATTCTCACTCATCCTCTTTACGAGCAGCTTCTCTCCGCTCATGTCGCTTGCCTTCGCATCGCAACACCCGTCGATCAATTACCGAGGATCGACGCCCAGCTCGCTCAATCTCAGAATGTCGTCGCTAAATACTCCGCTTTAACCCACACCGCTCCACCGCCCATGGTTGGCGATGACAAAGAGCTCGATCAATTCATGGTATATTCCTCCATAATCCTTCCAATTTCTTCTTCTTTTTACCATATTTCCAAATCTGTTCCTATTGGATTTGCTATTTAGGGAGCTGAAATTTCATTGCTATTGCTGTCAATCTATATGAATGCTTTCCTTTTCTCCCATCATCCAATGGTTTTCTTTCCTTTCTTTTTCCCAGAAATTGTTCAATCTTTCTGGCTTGCTTCAGTTAATTGGGTAATGAAATGCTATGTGTTTGTAGGTAATTTGAGTTGGGTATTGGATATTGAGTACTTCCTTGTTTCTTAAATAAATGTCTTCATCATTTCACTTGTGGGTAGACATTTTATGTATTCGCTTGCAAATTTGAGTACTGCCATAATTAGTAAGCCAAGATATGGTAATAATAAATAAACTAGAATCTGCGTTTAATTGTGCTTCCAGGCTTTTTAGTTTTTACAACGTATGGACAAATTTTCAAGACAATTATATATATATATATATATATATATATATATATATATATCTTTATGTCGGTTGTCAGTTGGTCTATTTTCTTTCAGTCGTACAGTCCTGCTGTTTGGGTCGAGAAAATTTATGTTGTTTGCAGTGCAGCTGAGAAAAGGCTGCCCTGTCTGGTTTCTGGACTCTGTTGGAATGAAACAGTCGCCATAGATTTTGTCTTTCAATCTGTTCTCATATACTGATATTGATTTATTGACATTTATTTGGACATTTAAATGGCTGAGAATTGGGACAAAGGGTACTGTAGATGTGATGTAAGCTTAAATGGTTCTTATTTTGTTTTCAACCATATTAAAGCCATTTTCTGAGTTGTTCTTGTTTATGGATGAAATTTCAAAGTTTTGTTATGGTTTTGAAGCTTTTAAAAGCGTTTTAAATACATAAAAAGTCATACTAAAGGAATAATTTTACCTGGAATTCTGCTGCGAAGTTTGCTGTACACTCTGCATCCCTCTTTTTTTCTTTTGATTTTTCTTTCTAAATCTTGGTGTGTTCTATGTGGTCGTGTTGCAGACGCATTATGTTCTTTTGCTTTGTTCTTTCAAAGAACAGCTCCAACAACATGTTCGTGTCCATGCAATGGAAGCTGTAATGGCTTGCTGGGACATTGAGCAGTCCCTTCAAAGCTTAACAGGTACTGTTGTAGCCTTGTGTGCTGATCTTTCTGACCCAATTGTGTTCTGTTGTTATATTCGTGGAACTTTAGCTTTAGCCAATTATAGCCAAGTTTTAGAGAATTTGCCTTGTCAAATACTTTGAGTGCACCACTCGTTTTTTATATTTGAAAATTAAAGTGTTCTTCAACTGAAGAGTGAACCAGTTGTGATTTGATCAAATGTTTCCTTCCTCGAATGAACTGGCCTTGACCTGTAGATCTATAGATGTAGTGGCTGGTGAACCGCTTTTTCTTCTTCCATAACTAGGCTTGGAACCCGGTCCACTCTCCCTTCTGTGCCCCTTGACCAAACTCCCCCAAACTTTGTGGCGCGAAACTGTCTCAAGGTCATGAGATGAGATTGTGCTTCTTTTCTTTCCGGGCCTGGGAAAGCTCTGGCAACAACAAAAAGGAAGGGCCCAATAGCTCATTAGTGAGAGGAAGGCAAACGTGTCAAGTCAATTGGGAGAACCAAGGAGCATAGTCCTTTGCTTGTCCAGACCGATATTTTGTAATGTAAAACTAGTCTAAAGTCGATTTCGGTTTTATTTTTAAAATTCGGCTAAAATTTTAAATTTTTGAAAAAATGAAAACTATAGTTAAGAAATTACGAGAAAACGAGCATGATCTTACCAAACTAGTTATTAAATGGAGATCGTATTTTCCATTTTTCTTTGAAGTTGGGTAGCAAGTGATCATATTAAGAACAACGTTGTATCCTTTTTGCTATACCAGGAGTTTCGCCCGGTGAAGGTACGGGAGCAACGATGTCGGACGACGAAGACGACCAAGTCGACAGCGATGCAAATTTATTTGATGGGAGTTTAGAGGGTCCAGACACTATGGGATTTGGCCCTCTTATTCCCACAGAAAGTGAGAGGTCCTTGATGGAGAGGGTCAGGCAAGAGCTGAAGCATGAGCTAAAATCGGTAATGGATGTAACATTTGCAGTGTTTTTTGTTTTATAATGGACATGTTCTGTCACTGAAGCTTTTTCCGACAGGGTTACAAGGAGAAAATTGTGGATATAAGGGAAGAAATTCTGAGAAAGAGGAGAGCTGGAAAACTCCCCGGTGACACCACCTCTGTCCTCAAACAATGGTGGCAATCACATTCAAAGTGGCCTTATCCTACGGTATGTTGGGGGTTTTGGCCTAATGCTATTGCTTAAAAGTCATTCTCAATTATTCACTCGTTTGATATCTACCGGACCCTTGAGTCAGCTTTCCCATCCGTTGGAGATCCCACGTCGATCGAAGAGGGAAACGAAGCGTTCCTTATATGAATGTGGAAACCTCTTCACATGCGTTTTAAAAACCTTAAGTGAAAGCTCCAACCATGACAATATCAAATCTCTCACTAGCAAAAGAATTTTAAAAATCTTGAAGGGAAGCTCGAAAGGGAATGCCGAAAGAGGACAATATCAAACCTCTCACTAGCAGACCCGTTTTAAAAACTTTGAGCAGAAGCTCGAAAAGGAAAGTCCAAAGAGGACAATATCAAACCTCTCCCTAGCAAACCCGCTTTAAAAACCTTTAGGGGAAGCTCGAAAGGGAAAACCCAAAGAGGACAATATCAAACTTTCCCGGAATGCCAAAGAAGACAATATCAAATCTCTACCTAGTAGGCCCGTTTTAAAAATCTTGAGGGGAAGCCCAAAAGAGAAAGCCCAAAGATACAATATCAGACCTCTGCCTAGTAGGCCCGTTTTAAAAATCTTGAGGGGAAGCCCAAAAGAGAGAGCCCAAAGATACAATATCAAACCTCTCACTAGCATATCCATTTTAAAAAAACCGAGAGAAGCCCAAAAGAGAAAGCCTAAAGAGAACAATATCAAACCTCTCCTTAGCAAACTCGTTTTAAAAATCTTGAGCGGAAGTTCGAAAGGGAAAGCCAAAGAGGACAATATTAAATCTCTCATTATCAGATGAGTTTTAAAAACCTTAAAAGGAAGTCCAAAAAAGAAAGCCGAGGACAATATCTACTAATAGTAGACTTGGACTGTTACATAATTGCATCGATTGATCTTTTACTCTTTTTTTTCTTATGTCACGTTATCTTAAAACATTCCTTAGAGGATGATAATGTAACGCTATCTTAAACTTAATAATAATTTAAGACAAATTTCAAAGCTGGTCGAAACTTTAATCCTTTTTTGGATCATGATCATGATCAGGAGGAAGACAAGGCAAGGTTAGTGCAAGAAACTGGTCTGCAGCTGAAACAGATAAACAATTGGTTCATCAACCAAAGGAAGCGAAACTGGCACAACAATCCTTCAAGTTCTACCAACTTGAAAAGCAAACGCAAAAGGTATAATATAACATAAATTCCTTCAAAAACACTTGTCTGTCTGTTTGTGTGCTGATTTTCTTTATAGTTGACCTTAATTTGAAAGAAGTAATGCAGGTGAAAACAGCAGCGACCGTTTCAAATGACTTGTTTCCAACAAAATCATGTTCTCAACACTTTGCTGCAGCAGCATATAAACCCCATACTGATTATTTTACGAGCATTGAAGGTATTCATTTTAAGCTTGCAAAACCAACGTACGTAGTTATTGCTTTGACCAAAGAAGTTAGGGATGAGAAAACGGGACGGGGACGGGGACAGGGATGGAGGAATATATGCTGTGTCGCAGGGGCACACGTAAAGATCGAAAACGTGCTTTCGACTTAAAAATATGAAGAATGTGTTAAGGGTTTTTTATGATATGATTAGAAGTTGATATTAGGAGTATATTAGTGGAAATGAATTGGATACTCCATTGGAATGGAGTTGTGATTTTTGTTTAAGCTTCTTCATGTATGTGAATAAGATGGGTGTACAGTTTTAATAATCTGTGCATTGTTCCTTACAATATATAATACATCTCATTATAGCTCCCTTTTATATATATATTTATTATGATCCCCTTTTAATTTATTTGATTTAGTTGATGTCGAGTAGAAATATGAATAATTCCTTGCATGATATAATCATGTTGTGGCGTTCGTGGCGTTCGGGGAGAGGAGTGGGTGAGGTTGGGTCGAGTTTTTTTTAACCCTTTGACCCCTGGTTTGGTTCGAAGTTCATATTTTTCACTCCGTAGAGTGCCATATGAATAATCTCTGGCATAATATAATCAAATTAGGCAGAGGCGTTTGGGGAGAGGAGTAAGTGAAGTTGGGTTGAGTTTTTTAGCCTACCGACCCTTGGTGGTTTGGAGTTCATAATTTCACTCCATGGAGTGCGTAATCCCTTACAGGGGCGGGTGAGGTTGTGTCGAGTTTTTCTTAACCCACCCGACAATAGATGCACGTAACAATCTAAGTTCTAGCGAACAAATTTGAATTAAAGTTTATCGAAATCAAACGAGATGAGATAATCAGCAAACTTTGTTCATTTTCTTCTAATAGAATGAATAATTATCGAGCTTTAGATATTTATACATTTTGCTCGACAAGAACGCCATATCAAATTACCTTATACAGTTACAATCAATGGATAGAGACTCTGGAGAATCTCATTCCCGTCGCTTCAAAATCGCAAGAGATTTATACCAATCGCTACAACTCATTTTGCCGCCATAAATCTCTGAGAAGCCGGCGGCGACGGCGGCAATCTGGAAGCGAAATCCCTAATTGGATACTCATCATCGTCGCGAACCTGTTCGTCCTCGAAATTAAGGGCATAGCTCGAAGGATCGTAACGGAAATCAGTTGAGTGATGGTACCGTCGGCAACTCCTGCCGATCCTAGCAACGAGATTCCGGCAAAGTCCTCGGAGCTTGGGGAGCTCTGGCGCCATTGATTTGAGTGATTTTAGAGAGAGAGATGAGTGAGAACTGAGAAGTGATGATGCTGAGCGAGGGAAATGGAAGAGATATATATAGAGATTTGTGGGAAGAAGAAGAAGAATGAAAAGACGGATAAGACGGAAGAGCGCTTTGCGGCTGTTGGGCTGTCGAAAGTGGGTTAGGAAGGAGCGGGGAAAGCGTGTGACCTACGTGGCATCCCCTTATCAACATAAAATTTTGAAAATCATTCTATAATAAAATAAATAAATAAATAAAATTATTTATTAACTTTCAACATTCAAAAAATAAAAAATTAATTCCATACAAGCCCTTAGATGACTCATCGGTTGCGGGTTAATCCCCGTAAAAAAATGGTAACCTTTTTGTAATTTGTGATATAGCTCTATTCCGAGACTAAGGCCTTTTATTTTCTTTGACCAACGAATCCTTAACCAAGCAGTTTAATCTTCATCTACCTGAACACTCCTTTGTGCAGTATAATTATTTGTAAGTCTTTTTATTTTTTTTAATAATAAATTAAATTTAAAAACTTGAACCGATTTTTAAAAAATATTATAAAAAATAGACATCGAGATCAAACGAGAGCTATATAGTTATAACGCTCCAATAACCCGAGTTACGTGTCAATGGATACAGTCAACACAAGTCCCAATTCGGCATAGGCATAAGCATTGTCATTGGAAGCCTACAAATGCAATGCATCAATGCTTTAGAATTGGACCATTTTGGCCTTTTGACATTGAAGGAAGGTATTTGGAACTCTCTGCATAATTCACCAATCAGAGATTGACACGCGTCACCTTTTGTCTTTAAATAATTTTATATTTTTCCCTGTAGTGCACGTGACCAACCACCACCCGCCGACCATTTATGGTTCGAACTCCAAGTTCCGGTTCCCACTTGTATTAAATAAAGGATTTATAAAATTTATGTTTCCGAGTAAGTAAGGGACATATGAATGACCCGAGATTACAAGGGACATATGAATGAATCGAGATTACATTTGAATGAAAGTGATATTGGAGATAAGACGGTTAAAAATGATTTAAATTAGTTGAAGTTATTGCCTATATAAATGATGTGTATCTTACTACTTACGGTGGGCTTTGTTGGATGATGAAAGTCCCACATCCGCTAATTTAGGAAATGATCATGGATTTATAATCAAGTCGACAATATCATACCATTGTAGAGAGTCATGTTCATCTAACAGGCTTAACCATAGAAACTTCAAAGTTAAATGTGTTTTTATTTTAGCAATTTATTACATTAATGCTAAAATGACCGGCGTTAGTTTGTATGTAGAGTAGTATTCACTCTTAAAAGCAACAAGCAATTAACATGGTCAGGTTGTAGCAGAATATCAGCGAGGGCTATGTGGTGCCAAATTTGAATTCCAAACAGATAATATGTCTAGTCGCTGGAAATGTGAGTCCAAATTCTGATTTGATTCTTGAACATAGGGCGTTTAGCGTTACAGTAAAAATATCGAACAAAATCGTGACATGAAATGGTGTAGCGTTCTCCTCTCCAATCGATATAACATCTCACAATTCACCCTCTTGGGTGTGTAGTGTCCTCCGCTGGCACACTGTCCGGTGTCTAGCTCTAATACCATTTGTAACACCTCGAGGCCATCGCTGGTAGATATTGTCTGCTTTAACTTGTTACGTATGTCGTCAACTTTACGGTTTCAACACGCGTTCGCTAGTGAGAAAGTTTCACACCCTAATAAGAAAATACTTCATTTCCTTATTAAACTAACGTGTGATCTTAATTTTAGTTTTTTTTGGCATTAATATGAATAAATATCTTTAGGCAACTGTTAGTTGAGGCGTTCATAGGTGTGTACTCAAAACCGACTGTTGATATACAGTTTGTTAATAGTTCATTAATTAATCATAATAGTATTAAATAAATTAATGAATAAAAAAGGCAGCCTGTTAATACTCGAAAGGTTCATGAATCCAATTTAATACACTTGGAGTGTGACAAATACTCCCTTTTTTGAGCATTCAAATTTGATAAGGTAGATTTTTTATTTAAATTTCGTGGTTCAAATTTCATCTTATTTCTTATATTAAAAAAAATATATATTTTTTAACAATAGCGGTAAAGACACGAACAACTTTTGCTACAGAGTGTCAATGAATCAAGTACATTGTAACGACCAAAGCTCACTGCTAGGTAGAAGTTTCTATACTGTTATAAGAAATGTTTTGTTCTCCTCTCTAACCGATGTGGGATCTTACAATCCATTCCCATGGAGCCCCAACGTCCTCACTGGCACACCACTCAGTGTTTAACAAATATTGTTCCTATTGTAACAGCTCAAACTCACTGCTAGCAGATATTGTATTTTTTGAACTTTTCTTTTTGAATTTCCTCCAAATTTTTAAAATGCATATACAAAGAGAGGTTTCTGCACAGATTTTCTAATTAATAGATTCTTAAACTTTAAAAAGTACCGTTGTACATCAAACCCGTAAGTTAAAAAATCAATTTTTTAGGGTTTTGCTTTTTGCCTAATGGCTCATTTTTCGATTTTATTAATAGTTAAAATGAATGTGAGCCGAAAAAATTGAAATTTCCATTCGGGTCGGGTCGGGTCGTCTCGATTATGTTGGGCCCAAATAAATTATGAAAACAGGTAATGGGCCGGCTCAACTATAAATACGTGGGCTCTGCTACAATATTCACCTTTTGGGGCTTTGGTATTGAAGGCGGGAGCCCTCTCGAAGCATCCATTTCTGGAAGCCATAACCTCAAACAAGCATCATCAGAGAGAAGCCGCGAAACCGAAGGCAAGAAAAGGCTTACGAATCATATTCTTTATTCGATTTTTCAAGTTCATTCTCCAGTCTCGAGTCCTCCGCTTTCATGGTGAATATCTTCCTCTCCTTTTTTCACGATCTCAATATTGCTGTTCTTAGTATTCTCATTGTACGCATATTTGTTTTTGTTTTACTATTTTTTGTAGGAGTTACAGCAGGAGCAAACTCCGTCGGTATCCATAGAAGATTGCTTGAAGCTCTTGAAAGGAGAGAAGGACGAGCAGCGTCTCGCTGGCCTTTTCTTGGTCACTAAAATTTGCAAGGTGGATGATATTGCCTCGCTTACTAGAGTTTACAATGCGGTTGGAGCGAAATTTCTTGATCGGCTTCTGAGAACTGGTATGTTTTTTTTTTTTTTTTAACACTTCGCGATCACTGGAAACTTATTAGTTGAACTAGAACAGTTTGAGACGTACATGCTTAGTGTTTATGTATGTACTCTGAAAATGTGTTTAAAATCCTAGGCATGGGCAAAGGAACTGTTAGTGGACCTGGAGAGGAAAATCGCGATGCGTATTTGCAGCTTTCAGTTAGGATTCTGGTTGCGTTTTGTCACGTTCCTGATATTGCTGCTTCAGAAGAGATGATCTCGAAGATTCCACTGATACTGGAAATCTTATCCAACCAGTGCGTCCTCTATCGGTTAACTTTTTATTTCTTACATTTCTACATCAATCAGTTGATTATCGATACGAATTAGAATGACGAGTTATCCTTTAATGGAACGAGATGACATTGAAGGAAAATATGTTTGTTCACTTGTATTCTTCTTACTCCTTTTATTCTTGATGTTCTGTTGAGGAGATTTAGAGATTGATCTTAAAACATGACTTCAGATTTGCAGTACAAGTACTTACTCGACTATCTTTCAGATTGCAATACATAAATTTATTCATACTCCTAATTCATTCTTGAAATTGCTTGTGTTCTGAAGATTCAGATTCTTACCATTAAGAAAGAGTTAATTGCATCATGGACTGGATTTTCTAAATAGCTATGTACATTATGTTTTCTTTCTGTTCTAATATCTTTGGTCGATGTTTCTTTTGTTGTCTGTGCAAGGTCAGGATCATCTGTTTTGGAGGAGTGTCTTGAATTTCTGTATCTGGTATCAACTACATCTGATGCTGGTGTTACGGTTCTATATAAATCTGGAAGCCTGAAAATTATAGCTTCTTGGATGTCAAAGTTGGCAGATGGTAACATTTCTCATTGTTTGTCTAATCTCATTGATTACCTTGCTGTTGGCGGTTAATCTGAATCTTGCTGTGTTTTCAAATTATGGTCAGTAAATATCTCAGTATAAGCTTTTGTATGCAGGTTCCCATCCAATGAAGATTTCCATGCAACTTGTTCAATTGATCATTAGTAAGATTTCTTTGGACATCATCATGATCGACTGTTTGCCTGAACTAACTGATATTGTGAGTTAAATTTTATAAGACTGTTTTATTTACTATCTAATAGGACAACTCAATAGTTTTGGTTCGATTCGACCACATATTCTTATAGGGAGACCAAGTATTCTACTTCCCACCATAATTGAGTAAATGCTATCAAATCAGGTTGTTGATATTGCGAGGCAATTTGGAGTGTCTCACGATGCTGTGAAGTTTGAAGCACTTCACCTGCTTTCTGCCATCCTGTCCTCAAATTTGGTATGCAATTAATGGTGCCATCAGGAAAGATTACTTTAGTAGTTTTTTGGAAGTGTTAGGATGTTTTTTCCTTGTTTAAAGGCTGCGTACTGCCTAGTCTTGACTAATGCATCACTTTTAGGTTGATTTATCCAGTTAGACATTCTTTTTTTAATTATCCTTCACTGCTTATAGAATTTCAGTCTTGTTAGTTCTTGGATCTGTCATAATCACAGTTATTGTTTAGCTGATGCATTTTATGTTTTGCCAATGATGTTTCATTTTCAGACACCACTATATGATGCCCTTCGTCAAGTGCCTTCCGATGCTTGGTCAAAACACATGCGTAATGGAGTTTCAGCTATTCTTCATAACCGTACAGGTATCCTGAGCTGCATTTTCTTCAAAGCCGAACATTACCCTTTCTTTTCCATTTTCTGGCAATCAACATGTAGCTGTATTTTTTCCCTCCATGTTACCGTTAATCAATTTGGCTCTAAAATACCATATTATCAGTATTCTACTTGGCTTGATTATAATGTGTTTGACATATAGTCAAATCACTGGGTGTTGTGCTTGTGTGTGTGTGTGTGTGTTGATTATTTTTGGTGTTTACAATCTAAAAGTTTATTTGAGTGGAAGGCACAAGAAAGGTTTGATTGATTATGAAAGCAGCAATCTTATGTTAGTAGGCTGGTGAAACTTGGTTGCGAGTTGGTGGCATAGAAGGAGACATTAAGGATAGTTGAAAGGATACTTGCACTTTAGCCCTCTTCTATCTTCTTTTGGGCGTGAAGATAAAATGAAGTATATGTTAGGGCTTGAATGCAGTATATGTTGGAAAGCCTCTCATTTTCCTTTAAAAGAAAACTGATTCCGTTGGGTTTATTTAGATAATATTCAGATTTATATGGTGAGATAATTCTTTTTCTTTCGATTGAGATTTAGATGTTTATTTGCTCTTGCAATGGAAAAGTGAAAAATTAGGGGAAAACGTTTCAAGTATATTCTCTTTACTTTAGTTACCCTCGTAGTCACTAGTGCACAAGAATCTGTTCGACACTCTAACTTATTGAATCTCTTGCTTTGCTGTCCAATATTCAGCACCTGCCGAAAAGCTTCAGGCTCTTAGTTTGGCCGAGTCTATGGTGTCTATTAGAGGAGAAGGTTGGCTGATAGGTGAAATAGAATTACCCGATGTTCAAGATGCTATTCCATCTGACAGGTATTTAGTGATTGCTACCAGTAATGTTGCTTTATTAACTTCTCATTATATTTTTCATTTTTCTCTTCCATCTTGATCTCAGGTGTCTAATACTTGTTTTAGAGCAGTCAAGAGTTGAGATTGCTGTGATGCTGAATGAACTGGCCTATGCAAAATATGAAGCTTCCAAGAATTCTTCCTTGAAGGAGGATATCATTGTAAAGCAGCGGAATGTAGCAACTGCCTTCTCTTTGGTGGAAAAGATAATTAAGTTAGTATCAAATGTCGGTGAAGATCAAGGTGGATAACTTATTTGATGTCAATTATTTGCTAAGTCTTGCATTTCGGTTATTGACATTGAGATTTATAGGCCCCAAATTACAAAATTTTATGAATGTAAGCATGTGAAAAATAGTGGGACATGTGAAGGGTAGTTTTTTTCATTGTTTTTGCATGGGGCCCATTACATTTTGGTAGTTAGAGTAAGGGCCATGATGGGGCAGGATGATATAGGGTTGTGGTATCCTTTTGCTGAGGTTTTCCTTATTCCGTAGGCATTCTCCATGTTTCTAATTGTAGGTTTAAGAGTCTATCCCATTTAGCTTACTTGATAGAATCACTCGGATAGTTAATTAATTCTGATCATAAATACTCAGTTAGATGAAATCGATGCCTTACCCTACCAATGATATGAATGGGCTTTTTATATTTGGTTAAAATTTAACAGTTTCCAATTTTAGATTATTCCCGAGTAAAGTCAGATTTTGTACAATTTGGATACCATAAAAAGCATCAAAGTGGTTTACTCTTGTAAAAGGGAAATTTGAATTCATCTTAATAGGATTACATAAAATTTGAAGAAGGTTGATGAAGCATTGAGTTTTGGACATATATGTTGCTTCTTGTGTTTGTGAAGTAGTTGGTCTTTCCCTGACCTTTCAGGGGCACACATGGCAGGATTATTAGCTTCTCAATATTGCTACTGCTTTTTGGCTTGATTAGTCTTGTTTGAATGCAGGACTTATTTTAATGTATATTAACCTTGATATGATGTTGTGATCCAATGTTGGCCTTCGGCCAATATATTCAGCAATGCCGAGTTATTGCCCTTTTAATTATTTCATACTCAAATAATATCTTGAATACCTGGTTGAAATTATTTGTAGGTGATCTTATCGATGAAAACACACTGATGAAAGTGTTTAGAGGACTAAATGAGACTACTGGTGTTGTGCTAGAATATTTGCAAGATGCAAAGGTAATTATGGGAATCTCATAGCTGTGGTAAGATATGGCGTTACTGTTCCTTATCTAGAATTTTGATTTATGATTCTACAGGAGCATGGACAAAGAAAAGGAGATGATATTTTAGCATCCGTACGGGTTATTGGGAGGTAAGATATTCAATATTAATATTAAATCCTTTGGTGAGACAGCTGCCAAGTTTTATAGTAGTTGTCAAATTTAAAACAACAGAACGCAGTTTGAAAGAACTATTCGATCATTCTTATAATATATACGTTTCTTTAAATACAGTGAAACACGCCTTATCTGTTCTTTTATGAATATGTACTTTGTTAGAAGCTTAGAATTAGAATTAGAATTTTGAACAATTAATATTGTGGTTTGCATATTTTTCGATCCTAGATATAAACATCAGAAGAACGTAGAACGTCTTCAATGTCCTGTGCCTTTGCAGTGAATTGCTTGATAATTGAGGAGTGTCTAGGTGTATACTTTATAACAATGAACGATATTCCTTTACAAGGACTATCAAAATACATTAAACGTGAAGTTTCTTCATTCAGTTAGTATAACGTGTTTGTGAAATGTGTGAATCACGCTTCCTTCATGCACGGATAGTGTTTGACGGTCTGGGGTACTCTGATTTTTGGAACAGTGGATCGTTTATGATTTGGTCTCTCTAAACTAGACTAGAGTTCTATGTTCACTTAGATTGCCTCTGGTCAACATTATTCTTTCTCATTCCAGCTTTCTCGCACAAACCCCCGATGCATGGACAGAAAAAGTTAAGGAACTCTTAGACTATATGCTCTCTGTTGAAGGAGAAGATGAACAGAGGTTTGTCAGCTCCCAGTTATTGACAATATGGTATATTCATTATACATTTATGAAATACCTGATTTTGTTTCGATATTTACAACCGACAGCCCCTTCAACTCTGTGTGCTTCTTGCTTCCTATGCTGTGTCAAATAACAATGAATGTTGAAGGATGTAAAACTTTGGTTTCTTCTGGAGGTCTTGCAGCTGTAAGTAATTGCAATCTCGAATTTACTTATATCATACACTGAAGTGCTCTACGTTCTTAGTACTTTTGCGAAGCTAAAGTTCTTGATCATTTAGCATTTGGGTTTGCATTCAGGTTGTGAAATGCCTTATAAATTTGATTCACAAGCACGGTGGTTGGGTTGACAATGATGGATCCATTTTCTTGGCTTGTGATACTATCTTGAATGTGCTTCTGAAGGTATTCATCTTGTCATCTACAAGAGTATCAAGTTGTGTTGGTTAGTTTATTGCTAAGGTGTACTTGTACTTCTTCGTTGTAGAAAGAGCTAGCTGGACTTCTATGTGGGGAATCATCTTTTGTTCACCTTTTGGAAGCAATTGCAAATTCAACTGGTATGTTTAAGTTTCTTTGTATCACACTTAAGTTTATTATCAAATTCTTGACTTTTTTTAATTTAAATTGTTCATCATGGTTGTAGGGGATGCCCACGAGCCATCTGTTATAATGATGGCTGCCAGCATATGTGCCTTAGTATTTGATTACACGTCAGAGAATGCTCTTCTAAGCAATCCGAATTTTGCTGATAAATCTCTCGATAAGTTATGCCGACTCTTTTCAAGAATCTTCGCTTTGTCCCAACAGGTACGTTCTTCAGAAAATTTTCTTTTTCTTTCCCTCTGAAATTAGAAGCAGCATGGTCCTTGAAGGTCTCTAAATTTCAAAAAGTATTTCTAAACTTGAAAAGAACATGCTCAATATTTTTTCAAATTCACATATCGATAGTTTTAAATTTAATTAGTTAGAATCAAATTTAAATAAAGGGCATTATAAGATCATTCATTCTTCAGCCATTTGGAAAAGGCACAACATAGTTTATTTATTATTTTTTCTTTTTTTACTTTGTCTTTCTAATTATTTAGAATCTATTTAATAGATTTATATATTAAATTAGTTATGGTTTATAATAAGAATATTAGTTTTTACAACTCTTGCTTTGTCGAATGAATCATTTCGAATCGTGGCTCTTAAATATTACTGGAAACTTATTAGGCCTAAGACTAAAAGTCTAAAGATTTATTAAACGATCTTTGATTTATTGGAAACAAATATAAAGTTGAGAGAATGTTAAATTTATGTGGATTGCAGCAGAGCATGAACGATGATGAAGTGGCACAGATGGATCTTTACGAGATTATCGCGGCAGGTTTGTGCATACTCGTGCGTAAATTATATCACTCCTTTTTTTGGTAATTTCATACTCAACTATAATATTTAAAATAAATAAGTATTGTGTACTTGCATCATTCTTAACATGGCTGGCTGCCTAGTAAAGAAAGTTATACATACGTTTAAAAGCAGAATGATGAGGGTTGTTTCCTTATATATTTATTTGGAACCGTTGAAAAAGGCGATTAAATTTGATGGGCAGGATATTCTCGATGGGGAGATAGGTTCCCGCGTGTTCAAAAGGCAATCGGGATTGCACCATTGTGATTATCGGTAATGAATAAATAAGAAAATCCTGTAATTGCTTTTTGACCACTTTTTAATTAGGCTTTTCCTGTTTATTGACTTTCTATTTTTTTGGAATACAGATGTAATCAGGAAAAGATGGATATCACCATCCCCTCCTTTCTGCACGCCATTAATTGGAGTAAGTGTAGTCTGCACCACAAGTGAAGTTTAATTTTATGGTGTTGATAATGTAGACAAATTTTAAATATTATTAAAAAGGGAGAAATTTAAGACTTAGATGTGTTCTAAAAAGAAGTTAGAGAATCAGGATAAAGGTAGGGAGAAATAGACATATTTAAAGTCTTAACTATTAAAAATTAGTTAGTATAAAAGATGCGCATGTTAGAAAGAAGAAATTTTATTATTTAGAACTTTTGATGACATTCTTTTTATTTTAGGTAACTGTTGTAAAAATATTTATTGGTTTTGAGAAAAAAAAAAAAGATTTTATATTATATTTATACATTAGAGATCTAAACGAGTTTAATTAGATTTGCTAGAGGCAATATATATATATATATATATATATACACATATATATATATATATTATAGAATATCATTTAGATGAAATATAGATGGGTTAAAATTAATTAATTATATTTTTAACGTCAAAAGTTTAAAAATTGTAGTCATAAAACTATAATATAAGGTAGTAGTCACATTGATCATAGGTAAGTTGAATTCTTGGTGTGATAAATAATGTTTTCATGCCATTAAAAAAGACTGAGATTTGGAAAAATTATTATTTTTTAGTCGAATGCTTACCAAAAACATTTTGTTAAAAAAGAATTCCAAAATCTTTCTTAAAAGAATGTGAACCTTACCAGACGAAATAGGAAAGTTGCGTCCACGAAGGCCGGCGGGTACCTTAGTAGTATTCACAATGTAGAAATCAAGAACTAATTTCCCAATTATGTTACGGGATCATGAAAGTTGAGCAATAGAAAAAAAGTAATGAAAACTAAACTAAGAAAATGTACCAGAAGCTTATATTTATAGTGTATTAGCACAATATCATTGGTGATTCGAAATGTTTAGCAACAGTTATTCAAATTTTGCTTGCATGTATCTATCCTTCTATTTGCAATTTTAAATTAAAAAAAAGTTTTTAAAGTTTTGTTTTTTTAATTTTGTGTCTAATAAAAATACTTGTTTGCAAGTCTAAAATTTATAAACTAAGACAAAAACAAAAGTTTAAAAATTCAAACTATGGAAAAATAATAGTTGTGAAGTTTTCACACAAGGAAATATACCTTAAAAACGAATGGTGAATGACTCGAGCAATCTGGTAGCATCAAAATTTGGTTTAGAAAAAGCCCATAAATTCCAGCAGCTGCGGTACAAGAAATACATGGTTTAAAATGAATTAAAATCCAAATCAGGAAAAGTGCAACATCAAAATAGTAATAAGCCCTACATTTGAAACATCCAGCATCCTATTGTCTAAGTAAACTTCGGCTTTCGACCTCTGGCATTAGAATATAATTTTGGGTTGTGTTCGTAGTTCTAATATTTGACGGTTTATCCAGTTTGAACACTCATTGTTGAGTTTCCTCATTTTTTCTTTTCTTCAGTAACAATCAAACTGGACTAACTGCAACTATTAGAACTTCGCACACAACCGACAATAAAATTCTAATGGCAAAGATTGAAAGTTGAAGTTTACCCGATTTCATGACATTAATGCGAATCAACGTTCATGAGGCACGTTACGTTTTTGTTTGCCTGTTCAAAAGACCTTCAATGTTGAAGTAGTAGAAGCCACTCTTCATAATGACTTCGTGTTTGAGGAGTCCAAAGTAGAGATATGAGACCTGCACCAGTCACACTTGAATCAGCCAGTTCATGTTCTAAATTATTAACATAAACAGAACCGCATGCAACATCCAACACATTGTGCATATTCGTTTTGCTCAATGAATATCTTTTCTTTTATACCGAAAAGGAAACAAGTAAATTGATATTTAATGATCTCACAGTTGTGCGTTCGGAAACAGAAGCTTTGTCCATCTCGAAAGCTTTCACTTGATTTCTTAAACTTGTTTGGCTTATTAATGCTCTGGTCTTTACTCTACCTCCATAACCACAGAGAGCAAAAGCCTGAACGAAAGAAACATAATTAGTCTGTGTAAGCAAATATTTGCGTTGTTTCAAGAACCGACAGCCATGCCCTCTTCTCTTATCAAAGACCAAGTCAGATCAGAAATTAATGCTCAACCGATGGAGCTGGTCCACAGGTTGAAAAAGGGTGTCTTAAAATGTTCAAAAAAAAGTTCTGGCAGTGGATGCACTGGGTTCTAGACTACAGTAAAACACAAGATAACGATCGTTCTCTTAAAATTCGGAAGAACCAGAACCAATGTTTGTACCAAATATCCTTGTAAAAATGAAGCGAGTATGAACCTGAAGTTTGAAGATGACAGTAATCAACTAAAATTTACAGAGTATTCATATTTTTTTTTAAATATAATATAAAAATAAACGTGCTGCAAAATTAGAAAATTAAAATTTAATAAAAAAATTGCAATTCTCTCATGTTGAAATGAAGCTCGATGAGGTAATTTAAGCCTCTTCTACCGAACAAAGAACTTGTAATGAAAACTAAGCTGAAACAAAAGATAACATATAAAATAACAATTATTTGAGGGGACTGCAGCCAGGCGAAAACTTAAAAATAATGGAAATGTCTTGATGATTGGAATCGAAGCAAGGATCAGGTAAGGGGTACTCTAGTGTAGAATAGGATAATTTCCAACAAACCAAACATTAAACTTGTTAAAGAATCAGCTAAGGTAAACTAATATTATACACTCTTGAAGTTGAAGGAGAGCACGTACCTCTATGTGGATCCGCCGCTGGTACACGGGCATGGAAGGCGGGTATCACCTCCGTCCATCTAAAAGGGCATATAAGAATACCTTGCAATCCAAATTAAAGAGAGAAGAGAGTAATATAAGAAATCCGCATTTTACGTGCACCAACGTGAGGTTATATGCTACAGTGCAAAGGTACTAATAATTATCTTTTTAACCTATATAAATCCTAAGTACTTCTTATTTTTTAAGTTTAACAATGGTAGAATCGTAGATTGAATCATTAACATTAGATGATAATCGATATCTAATTCATAACCTATACTTGGATACACAAAAATGAATAATACTCACTAACTACGGTTTGATTAGAGGAGAGTAATGCAAAAGGCAGAGAAACAGAAGGTAAACGCGTAGTAGGTAAGTACACTACTACTGTAAACGCGTAGTAGGTAAGTACACTACTAACTAGTAATAGGTAAGTATTATTCTTGAAAAACAAAAAACAAAAGAAGAGAATGTAGGACAAAACAAAACAGAAACTGGTCAGGATGCAAGATAAGGCTAGGGAAGCATTTAAAATTTGAAACATGAAACGTGGTTTAAGTAAAATAAATTTCAACCAATCATCTAGTAGTATATTTGAATAGTTGCATGTTTTACTTCAAGCCAAATTGCAATATTTCAAAGACACGATCAATATTTCTTGCGTGCAGCCTAATTATTGATCTGAGTTTAGAAAATTGAACATATATCAAAACAGAACCAAAGAGATCTAAAGTCAATTAAAACAGCTTGGACTGTAATTGGAAATGCACGACATCAAAACACGATAGCTCCCAACCATAAGAAAAACACGCATATTGATAGTTCGGTAGATTCTCCATAGCTTTACACACAGCGAGCTAACTGCATGACCAAAAAGGGTCAGATCAACGTAAAGCAGTCAAAGGGCAATAGAGGCATCCAAGCTCCAGTGCCACAACTAATTCACAGGGAGAAACGTCATACGAACAAGACACTACTCAAGACCTAAAGGAAAACACATTATCCATAAGACAAATACGAAGGAGCCGATCAATCATCATTCTCAGTCATGCACATTCTGGTATTACAGATTCGTCGATCCGGAACACAGTCCTAATCAAGAAGACGAAAATAGACGCCATAAATAGCTAGGAAGAAAAAACAAACGCGAACCTATTTCAACTGCCGGAAACTCCGACACCGTAGAGGATCCTTCAACACTGTACTGCATATGACAACGATGTCTAACTAGAAAAGCAATGCGAGTAGTAATCCATCACTTAAAACTTCTAAAACCATTCTTCCACCTCAGTAAAGCAAAACCTACCGATTCAAGCATCAAGCATCAAAAACAAACATAGAGAAGAAGAAGCATTGAGAGTAGAACACAGTCAAAAGTTTCAGAAATTCCAAAAACGGATTCCTAAATGTAAATTGACATCGAATAGGTAGTCACATTCTGGTATTACAGATTCGTCGATCCGGAACACAGTCCGAATCAAGAAGACGAAAATGGACGCCATAAATAGCGAGGAAGAAAAAACAAACGAGAACCTATTTCAACCGCCGGAAACTCCGACACCGTAGAGGATCCTTCAACGCTGTACTGCTTATGACAACAATGTCTAACTAGAAAAGCAATGCGAGTAGTAATCCATCACTTAAAACTTCTAAAACCATTCTTCCACCTCAGTAAAGCAAAACCTACCGATTCAAGCATCAAGCATCAAAAACAAACATAGAGAAGAAGAAGCATTGAGAGTAGAACACAGTCAAAAGTTTCAGAAATTCCAAAAACGGATTCCTAAATGTAAATTGACATCGAATAGGTAGTCACATTCTGGTATTACAGATTCGTCGATCCGGAACACAGTCCGAATCAAGAAGACGAAAATGGACGCCATAAATAGCGAGGAAGAAAAAACAAACGAGAACCTATTTCAACCGCCGGAAACTCCGACACCGTAGAGGATCCTTCAACGCTGTACTGCTTATGACAACAATGTCTAACTAGAAAAGCAATGCGAGTAGTAATCCATCACTTAAAACTTCTAAAACCATTCTTCCACCTCAGTAAAGCAAAACCTACTGATTCAAGCATCATGCATCAAAAACAAACAAAAATATAGAGAAGAAGAAGCATTGAGAGTAGAACACAGTCAACAATTTCAGAAATTCCAAAATCGGATTCCTAAATGTAAAATGACATCGAATAGGTAGTCACATTCTGGTATTACAGATTCCTCGATCCGGAACACAGTCCGAATCAAGAAGACGAAAATAGACGCCATAAATAGCGAGGAAGAAAACACAAATGATAACCTATTTCAACCGCCGGAAACTCCGACACCGTAGAGGATCCTTCAACACTGTACTGAATATGACAACAATGTCTAACTAGAAAACCAATGCGAGTATAAAAAAACAAACAAAAATATAGAGAAGAAAAAGCATTTAGAGTAGAACACAAGAAACAATTTCAGAAATTCCAAAAACGGATTCCTAAATGTAAAACGACAACGAATAGGTAATTACATAGATCGAGGATCGTATTCCAGCAATGTACACGAAGAAGAATCGTACCGCAAGCCGAAAGGCATCGATAAACCGCAGAGAAACAGAGAGAATCAGCGAACATTGATCGAGGACGATCCGAGCAAGTCTTTTCGATGAAGAATCAGTGATCGCTTTCTTCGAGACGAAGATGGATTCCAGAAAGGTTTTTCCAAAGCGTTTGATTCGACAAGAGAAAAAGACGAAGGCGGAGCATGTATGCAGCGTATAAAATAAAAACAGGGAAATGCTTTTGGCGCTCCCGCCAACAACCTAACACGTGTTTGGTTCTTATTGGTTTATATGAAACTAACTTATGTGGGGCCCACTAAAAGACTGGTGTTTGGGTAACGGCCAACATTATCCCATTCGAGTATAACAGGTAACCTATCGCATCGATAGGGAAAATGACTCCCTTATCTTATTATTCTCACCTCGTGTCCCACTGTCTTTCTTTTTTTTTTTTTTGCAATTAAAAAATAGAAATTTGAATTTCGGCAATAATTAATTAATTAATCTTAAAATATAAGATTATAATATATAGATGTCAAAATTTGAAGATTCAAATTATAAAATTGATCGATTTGCTATAAATATCAGTAATATTTTAAGGGCTAATCGTAGAAGAAGATCTAACAAACATATATATATATACTTATATAGAGAAAATTAAGAGAGGAATATAACAAAAATAATTGGGTGTAATTCTATAATAATAATTCATCCCATCAATCTTCAAATTCCAAAACAATCAATTTGAGAATCACTATAACAACATAACCAAACAGCTCTTCAAAATTCACAACACAATAAATTCTCTCTATTCAATCTCATAAATCGAATTGAAAATGAATTTATTTTCTTCCTCCACCCTATAAAATCATTGATGAATAATGAATAAATCTATATAACTAAATCTTTGTTCTTGAATAGCCAATCTTCTCTTGAATGAAAGAAAGAATCATAGTATAAACAAACTTACACTCTGACCAAGCAAACGACGAATTGAATTGAAACTGTAACGGCTGGTGTAAAATGCTGCAACCAGAAAAAGAAAGAACACAACATGAGTAAGTTTAATCGAAAGGAAAACACGAAACATGCTGCTGAAAGTTGTAAGGATCGAGTTTGGGAGAAACCGAGACGGCGTTCTTCGCTCCAAAACTCTGAAGGAGGTCCAAGAATTGAAGTTCATATAGATTGTATTATTAACAAGTCATATGGAAAGCTTATAACTAAGAGGCTCTTTTACCTTTTGTGTATGAGGGAAGCAGAACACCAGAAAATTTGATGCAAAGAGAACTGAAATATTGCTTAAATGCCTCTAAAAAGAATGCTCCATCCATCCACAACAAAACTCTCAAAAATGCTCCAAAGTGAAGTGAAGTTTAGGAGCCCGGCGTCGAAACAAAGGCTCGAGGCGGAAAGATGGAACACCAAACTGCCACCTTTTGGCGTCGTACATTTCGTTCCATGCCTGAACGATCTCGTCGATTTTGAAGACGAACCCTGCAAGATACTCCATTAATAACACAAAAACATTGTGAAAAGAAAAGAAGGAAAGAGGCTGCTTGTAGTTTACCTTCCAGTGCAGTTTCATTGGAACAATGATTCTTGATCATAACAGCAATATCTGTTTGGGAAGCACCTGCAAGTTCGAACTTCTCAACCGATACCTCCAAACATTCCTCCCATGTCGGAAGCTCGATCTTATACTCCACGACAGAACGCTCGTACAATAAGGTACCCCATAAAAGATATATCTGAGATCTCATGTTTGAAGCCAGCTCTGCAGCTTCATCAGTAGGAATCTCACTAAACAGGCTTTCCAATCCAATTTTTTTCAATTCAGATCTGTATTTTTCACTTTTGGAGAGACCATTCAGACGCTGCTCCTCCATTTCTTCCCACATCAACATCCCCTTCTCCATGCTGTCCTCAGCCTTGTTATAAAGCTGTAGCACCTCTGACGAAAAGCTCGATAGCAAACCGATTTGGCTACCGCTAGCAATTGCATAATACCAGCAAAGCTTAGCTTGCTCAAACTGCTGCTGCCCAAGTGCAAGGAAACCTTCATAGAAATCTGGTTTTACACTAAGAGCTTCTTCGTATCTCATTTCAGCTTTCTTGTATTCTTTTCGTGCCCATTCATATGCGTCCTTAATCCGAAGAAGTAAGGTTTCCCTCGAACCGTCTTCGGGGAAGAAAACCTGCTTCCTTGCTCTGGACATGTGAACATTGCCCCAGTTGAAGAATGCCAGAGCTGCCATTTCTTGAAACTTTTCTGCAGCAATTTCAAAAATCTCCTGTGCACTGTCTCCTGTTACGGTGTCCTCCATCGCTTCCGAGTATAGTTTCATGCCCAGCTCGTGAAGATCCAAGTATGAATCGGCATCGACCCCGACATGGTTCTTGAACAATCGTGCAAACTGAACTATCCAATCCTCAACCGTAGTCATACCCCTCGTAACCTCTTTATCATTCACCACCACTGTACTTCTTCTTTTATCAAGCTTTGGATGCCTCTCATCATTATCAGTTTCCTTGTAGATGGGTTCCTGATCAGGACTGACCTCTGTAATATACAGTCTAAGTGAAGCCTGCAGCTGACATGATGATTCAACCAACCTCAACTCCTCTGTTGTGGTAATTGTAACCAAATCACCCTCTTGATCTCTGTACTTCACAAGAACACCCTTCAAGCTTGGAAATCTGTCTCGAACAATCTGGCTCACCAATTGCAGGCTGCAGTTTGTAGGTAACTGCGCCCATCTTATGTCTTCTCCAAATACCAACTTCACCGTTTTCGACACCGGTTTATCCTCGATCGGTTGAACGAACAATTTGTCTTCCTCAATGGTAACTTGTGTAACTTCCTTATCTTCAACTTGATCAACCTGTTCAACCTGTTCAACCTGTTCGACCTGTTCGACCTGTTCGACATGAACCAGCTGATCAGCCTTCTCCTCCACAACCAGCTTATCATCTGTCTTTGCTTCAACTTTCTTATTCTTCTTCTTCCTTAGTTTCTCTCTAACAACCTTTTGCAGACGCTCTGTGGGGCGCAGCTTCACGCTGGCCAGACCGATTTCTTTATCATCGATATCGACGCCTTTTTCCTTCATTGTGTTCTTGACACTATCCAAAACCTCCAACGCAGAGAGATTATTAGGCTCTAAGCTCAAAACGGTATTCACATCTTGCAATGCCAAATCAAACCGATTCAAAGCCTCGTAACACCTTGCTCTCTTCAGCAGCGCCTTGCTATACCTCGGATGAGCCTCCAACGCCAAATTGCACTCGTTAATCGCCCGCGGATACTCGCCCAACCCTAACTGCATATAACAGGTAGCCATGTTGCTATGGAGATGAGCAACATCGATGTGATTTCTCGGCAAAAGCTTCAGAGCTTTCTCATATTTCAACATCGCGCCTTCATGATCTCGCTTCTGGAATAGCCGATTGCCTTCCTCCTTGAGCTCTTGAGACATGTTTATGAAGATCGCCGTGTCTTCATCGAACGCTTTCGTGTTCCGCTCGGACGGCCGAGCCGGCTTCGAATTAGCATTTCCAGGCTTCTCGCCAACATTTTCCTTCTTCTTTCCCGTAGGCTTCCCCATTCAAATAACTCAAAAAATCACAAAGTTGTTGGTTCAATATTCAAATCAAATCCTCGCTCCTCTTCCTCTCTAATCCTCAAACCACATAAAACTGCATCGAAATACGTGCCTGGAAATTTCAAATTCGTCGAATACAGAATACAAATCAAGAGCATACAAACTGCAGAGAGCCAGAGAAAACAAGAACAAAAGCTGAATTAAGAAATGGAAATCTCAATCAAACACATCTCACAACTTCAAGATCGAAATTACGAAACTCATTCAAATCTTACATGACGAACAACAAATGAAAAAACGAAGAACCGTTCAATCAATCTGGCTTCCTCTCGACTGCTCCGGACTTGAAAATTCGGATTCGAAAACGAAACGAAATGGAAACAAATTGGAACCAATCGATATCCAATTGGTGAGCCGATAACTTCAGGAACAGTAGGAGGAGAGGAGGAGGAAGCCAGAAAGGAAAGGACAAGAAAAGGAGCCTTTGAGAGGGAAAATGGCTATTCTTCTAGGGTTACGGGAATGTCAGGTCAACTTTTCAAATGATCCTGTCAATCCCAAATTGTCGTTCCGCGCGTAGCGGAACTTTCCTTCTTCGTACACATAACTTACATGTACGCGCCAAAACACGCGCGCGCACAAACATACGTTGACCGACCCAATAACATTGGAAATAAAAAAAAAACTTTTTTTTAAAAATACTATTTTCGTTTTTTAATTACATTTTTATTACTTATTAGTAAATCTTAAAAATAGTTTTTAAATTATTTTATTATTATTTTTCAATAAATTCCACTCTTTACTAACATTTTCTCCACATTTCATTAAATTATTTTCGAAATACTTGATTAAGTTTTATTAGTAGTAAATTAAATAAATACAATAATTATTAAAATACAAAAATTAAAATTTGACAACTAAATTACATATACCACAAACCCAAAATATATTGAGAAAATTATATTTTATTTTTATTTATTTATTTATTTATTAGTTATGGGGATAGATTATGCTTGATTTATTCCACATGTTAATTAAAAAATATATAATTATCTCTACAATTTTTAATTAATTTTATCACAAACCTTCAAATTTGAAAATGTTTAATAAGTCATCAACGTAAAGTGTATATATTTATATTGAGTCCATAAACTAATATTATAGAATTAATATTTTAATTAAAATTTTTTTTTTAATAAAATTTAATAAATCATAGTCCTTTTAATTTTTAAAATTTGATAAATTTAACTTTTTCTTAATATTAAAAACAGCTACATACACGGGTCGGGTTGGCCCAGATTGGAGTTTCCAACCTGGAACTACTCAACAAGTCAATCTTCTTTTTAAAA